TCATCTTCCTTTGCTTCTCCACCAAATGATAAAAGATTCAAATCTCTGTAACACAATTTTTCGTTGTAAAGAACAATACTATCAGGACTAAATTCTGCAAACATGTATGATTTTTACTTTACTGCTGCTGTTTTAGTTTTTTAACTGTTCTTTACTTCTTCACTTTCCTGTACTATTATCCTTGGTATAATATCAGAAAATGGATTGTTCAATATTATAGTTTTTATCAATCTTGGAGCATAAAGTGGCTTATCATTCTACAAAACAGTGGAAATATTATATTTATATGAATTCTTGACACATATTCTTGCAAACATTAAATTTACCTCATCTACAAGTACTTCTTCGAGTTTAAGCATACTATATATAGATTCTCCAGTAACTCTACCAAAGATTGTATGCTTATTCTGCAGATCAGGTGTAGAACCAAGAATAAGGAAGTATTGGGAACCATTGTCGTCTTTCCAGCATTAGGCATAGCAAGTAAATCTCGTCGACAAAAACGTAATCGTGTATGAAATTCGTCCTAAAACATATATATCCAATAATTATTTTTCAATAAAAAAGGAATTCATTTTATTTTTAAATATAGGCTTACTTTAAATGGTTCTCCATATATTTTACCAGCTTCTCCTGTACCTGAGGATTCACCACTTTGTGTTATGAATCCTTTGATAATTCCATGAAAGATAGTGTCACCCTAATAACCTTCCATACATAATTGTATGAAATTTCTACATGCCTTTGGAGTTTCTTTTGCCCATAATTCTAACTCAATGTCACCAACAGTTGCTTTCATTTCAACCTAGTTATAACAAATGTATTAGTTTGATTCATGTAAAATACTTTTAAAATCAAATTTATTAAAATTTATTATTTATTATTGTAATTCAAATTAGAAATTGTTTAATATATTAATATAGAAATTTGGAAAGTAAATATTGTATATCGGTCAAATTATTAAAAACAGATATACAATCCATTGAAATGATACTTATTACTTTACCCATAGAGGCTGGCTCTTGCATATAAATATTACTCATGTTTGTAAGTCTCCTCTAATAAAAGAAATCCTTCATCAATAATATTTCATATTAAATCCTTAGTCATTTATAAATCAGTCAACCAAATGGTTCTTTTCTGGAATAATCATTTGTGAGTAAGATATACCTTTTATCTTCTTTTAACGTTGACTTTACTGCCCCAATCAATTCCATGTGCCACATTATTCCGGCTGCTTTTACAGTTTCTATGTTCCTATATATATTTCTACACATTTTTGCCTTAATGCAACATTTACACTCTATATTCAATTTAACTTTACCTTTCATAATTATTACCACTTGTTCATTTTCCATTTCTTCAATGATCCTCATATTTCTATGTCGATGCCACAAATTTTTCTCTGTTGATACATATGCTGCCTCTTTCCTGTTTCTTGATTCCGCATAATATGTTTCCTCTTCTCACTCCTTTCATTCGAACTTAACACATTAGCGATAATCATTGACTGTGACCACTGATATTAATATTCATTTAGATCAGGAATACAACATACCTTTCAATCTCACTGTATTCTTCATATTTTGCTGCTATAAGAGGCCATCACCTATATTAATTGCCATCCTTTTTGCCTGCCTAAACCATCTCCATTTTCTGAATCTTTATTTGACCCTCAAACATTCTTATCTTGTATGTTATATGGTTAACCTACCTAGAATTTAATAGATATATCATACTTTACATATTTGTATTGCAGCTTCAATTTTTCTTCCCTATAAAGCATAACGCTTGGCATCCACGATGATGATATTCCATAAGTACAATATTTTTCTATTGTTGCACGTGCCTGTTTACTTCAACAGAATATCGTCTCCTAACAACCGGGCTCTGCTATCACTAATGAAAGATGGAAAAGCAATGCCTTATATCTTGTACTGTGTGTTTACAACTGAAGGTTATGTTTATACAAATACTTACATTCTTTTTGTGATGCAGGCACACCTGTATGGACACACCATGCTTCCGGCGTTTGTTTTCAATTTTTTCTCATTTCCCATGCACTTTCCTGTTCACTTGAAGAAAAATTAACAAATCGCTCAATTTCTGTGTTTAATTTATGAAATTTTATAATTGCGTTGTAAAGGCGTACCCTTGTATATTTATCGTCTGCCAGGTAAAGAAATGAATGCTGATTGTCTAATTAAAACCGCTGTTTCGGTTGGATTCATTAAAAAATGTAAAAAACTTTATGATTTGATTTATTTAAATAAATTAAAATATATTAGGTGCATATAACCATAATTAGTAAACTATTTGAGAAACTATTCTAAAATTATAGATGGTGCTGATCGCAGGCGGTAAAATTTGTATTCGAACTGGATACCACTTCTGGTTAGGCGCTAATAATACACCTTAATAAATCAATTTGGCAGCAGAAAATGAATAAATTTCCATGTTTTTATATTTAATTGGTGAACATTTATAGCTGCACAGCAAAGTTGGAATTATAGGCAACATTCTTACACAATGTTTAATTTAATAGTGCGCGATGTGTTTTGTATTTCCTGTAGTAAATGTGATTGCTATAGAGAAGCGTTTTTCTTGCATAATATTCTTATTATTTTGTAATAAATATATACTTGCATAAGAAAGGGTAAAAAATAAATTTTTTTATTAAGAAATTTTATTTACAATTGTTTATTTACTATGTCTTCATAGACGAAAAATGAATACGAAATAAAAAGAGATTAAAAAACTACGATTTATGAACAAGAATTGAACCTGGGTCCTCCAAGTATGGCAACTCTTGATCGTCATTATACGCTACAATTTATCTTGTAGTATATTGAAAATAAATACATAATTAACGGAGTAATGAAACTTTAATCGCAAATATTGCAAAAACTATTGAGTAGTTGCGGCTATAATGATATATTTTCTGAAACTGCAAGACGGTTTCTACAAACCTGCATAGTTTGACCTCGGATATTGAAGTAATAGTAATATTATTAATAGTGTATGGGTAGATTCAAGGTTCGGTGGACCGGGGGTCTGATGACATAGCATTTGGATATGTTCAAATTCATAACATTCTTATCCATATTAAGTATATGGTTAGGTCTGCTTACAACTTATATCTTACGAACTATTTATTTTTATCCTATATTCTAGATCGATTTTTATCTATAGCTAAACCTATCTCTTCGACATCCACCTCCGCTAAACACCTTATTGCATCATCGTCCAGCATCCTAAGCGTCTAAAAGCATGTCCCCCGACGATATCACGGATTAATATGTAACCAGCTGTATCCCGATATCTCCATTATCCGTCTATCTTAACGAACTAGCTGGAAATTGGATAGGATAGCGTTTGGAAAGCGGTCAGCGTGGCCGCGAAACCAGATATCACACTCAGCGTGATCACGACCGCGTGCGTTGTACGGAAACACGGCCACCTGCCGTTTCGATTCCGCACCGGCGTTCTCACCTTGATCCCTCTGGCGTACCACGTTTCGTGTTTCGTCGCGCCAAGTCGGAGGTGTCAGGATGATCGCGCGGATAGCGAAGTCGAGGGGACGTTCCACGGGGACGACGCCGGTGTCATCGCCGTCTTCGTTGTCGACGGCCACTAGAGACCTTAACAAGCTTCCTCGAGTGTAGCCTTCCTCGCGACGGAGAATAAGGGTAGCAGAGTCGCCAGGGGCGGGGGCGAACACGGGCGCGTTTCTAGATTGCACCTCCATTCCGCTAACGAACCCACCTCGCGTCGTCCTTAATGCCCTTCCACAATGCGTTTTACCCTCTCGTCGTCCCTCCACCACGAATTCGCCCCTAATGCCCCGGCGCTCTTGGCCGCGAGCGAGAACCCGCGCGAGATGACGAGTCCACGATTCTCGGGATGCTGGATGGGCGAACCGACTGGATGGGCGGTTCTTGGCTCGTTCGAGTTGCTGAATTTTATTTTACAACCTCTTTTTCCGCGTTTATTCGCCAGCGATTTAATAAAGAAAAAGCTTTTTTTTCGAAATGGGCGGTGAAAGCGACGACAAGCGATTCCACGAGTAAAAGTAAAGCGATAAGAAAGAATAACATTTTTTCGTTCGAGGCTTCGTTTTAGGAGAAAATTGAATTCGAAGATTAGGGTGCACGTGGTTCAATATGGCCGACGCAGCGTCTATGATTGAAATTTCGAACGCTGTTTTCTCGAAAATCAGACCTCGAATGGAAAAATTTTGTTGTTTATTTTCGATTTAGTTTTGGATGAAGAATAACCCTCGTTGTCCAATATTTTCAAGAAGAATATTGTTACGAGATTTTTATGTCTGCCCTGTATTCGGCTAACAAGAGCGAATCGTAATTTCCGGAAAAGAGTAATCCAGAATGTTCGGGCAAAATAGCAATCGGCTGTTTACTATAAAAAGGGGTGTCTTCCATCGAAATTCAGGGAGTAGAGTTGTCAACGTTCAATAGGGTTAAATTAATTCAACGACGTATTCGTTGGAAATCTTCGGCAATCTAGCGATCGAACTTGTAGAAGAAGAATTGTGAACGCGATTCGGAACAGTATATTAATCTATATATTGTAATCTATATATATCATAATATATTAACGTCCGATGGCGACACCCATCAATATTTGTACAATATACAAATATATTATACATTTAACAAATGACAGTTTCCAAAGAATGCAAATAGACCTGCTTCCAAAATGGCTATCTTTCAATGAAAAATGTCAACTATGTTGCTATCCTGTAAACATTAGCTACTGACCTTACTATCTTACATCTAGTACACGAAAAATGCGAAATAATTATTACCCAAAATTAATTTTACTCAAGTTTTATTTAAGACACGTTTTCTACTTATTCTCCGCGAATTGGTCGTGTCTTAAACTCAAAATTGTTCGTCATATCCTAAGCTGAGCTTGAAAAAAGAAGGAAAAAAGGACGAAGCTCGATATTCGTGGATAGTTATATGTCCTTTGTATCACAGAGCTGGTCGAGAGAGTGGTTTTACTCGGGGGTTCTGCCCTGTCACCCTGGGCTATACAGCGTGATCCGTTCATGGTGAAACGTCGCGTCGCCGAGCAGACCGGATGTTCCGATGACGTGGAGGCTGACGATATCGCACCGTGCCTTCGTTTGCGGAGCCTGGAAGAGCTTCTCGCTGTGCAGTTGGATCCGCCGAGATTCACTTCTGGATTTGCTCCCTTCGTCGATGGGGCGGTCATGCCTCCGCCGATCAATCAGGTACCAGACGTTCGTAAAACCTGTCCGTTTCTTCCATTTATACTCCTTCTTTCATTTTCCCCTTACCGACCAGCGATATATCACGATGCTCCTTTATGATATTGAGAAACATGATATTGTCGGAGCAACATCGCGCCATTCAACCTGAAATATTATTTTCTTCGTTTCACCATGAAGAATGTTACAGAGGTAATTTGGATTCGGAGATTGAAATATGGAAATCGATATTCATTCCTACCCTTTCGTCGGTTTACGTTGCCTCATATAAATTGCGACCAATTCTTTCATATATTATCACAAAATTTTATTTCGTTCGCGTCTCACGGTACCATTCCTCAATTTTAGTCGCCGAAGTGCGGGGAACGTAATTTTTGGAAGGTTTTAGGAATTTTAGGAATTTAGGAAGGAAAATATTCAGCAACTGGAGCAAAAAATAACGGAAGAAAGCCAGCTCGCGGAATAATCCGCGAGCTGACTTTTTTCCATTATTTTTCTCTTCAAGTTGCTGAATATTTTTTATATGCCACAGATCACGAGTGACCCCTTTTGTGAGCACCTCACCTACATCGGTTCGTTATATTCTCAAGAAATTTTACTTTTAATGTGAAAATCTTTTTAACTGCTATTACGAGTAAGTACCGATACGCGCGTCGTTGATGCCTGAACCTGAACACGGCACCTTAAGTAGAGTCATGACGCAACTGGGTTAATTGATTTTCTTACGACCCTTTATTCCATATATCGGTATATCTCTCTCGTCAAAGAGCCCACGTCGGAAGGGATTCAAAAATTCGTCACCCGCATTTCCAATTACACCCCTGGCGCGAAAATTATTCGAACTACCCGCAATCTCTGACGAGCCAAACGCAGAGGCGTCCTTAACGCCTAGCGATCGGGAAAAATTGGTGGAAATTGTGGAGCAGAGGGTAGGAGAATGCAGCGCAATGGCGTCGCGAGACATTTCGGCCGCGCGAAATAGTGGACGAGGCGACGGGTAAGCGATGAGTTTGCTAATTGAACCGACAACCGACTGACAGACGTCGAGCGATGGCAGCCGAGGTATTAACTTCCGGCCTCGCGTCGCGCCTCCTCCGTTAATCGACCGCTTCCTCTCCTCTCTGTCCTTTCTTCTCCTCTCCCCCTTTTTTTCATTTTCCCTTTCCCTTTTTGAAAATCGATCGCTGTATCGGCGAGCCGGATTGCTCGTCGGCGAACTTTTAATTAAAAGCCATAAAGTATACGGTGTAATTGCAATTACCCGGGGGACCCTGTGCAATCGGAAGTCGTCCTCGAAAATCGATAGTTGCCTCAACTTCCCTTTCGCGAGCAGTCGACTTAATTGCACGGAGAGTCCACCCTGGGGATCAATTCGTCACGGTTTCACGACTGCGTCCAACATGCCGCCCTTTTTTCTGTTCCCGTTCTCAAGAATTTCCAGCCCACCGCCTCGTCGTCGGGTCTGATGCCCCTGGTGCCGGGGCCAGGTACAGAGTTCGCCAATTTCGGCGATCGGGACCTGCTGCTCGGTTTGACGTCCGAGGAAGCCTGGGTGAACCTCACCGACGAGGATCTACAGGTAAGCCTGCGAGCGTAAATGGGTCGTGGGTGTCGGGTTTACTTATTCAACGGGGACACGGTGTCTTCGAATCCATTCGTAATAGCTTATTCGCTTTGACGGGGTCGGGTGTCGAGGTCGCCGGGTCGACCTCGCGTGTTTGAGGTTTCTTCGTCCCGGTCGAGGGTGCAACGCAGCTGGAATGGGGAATTTAGATGGTGGTATTTGAATAATTTTTTCGCGGGAAAAGAGAGCAGTCCTTTGGGATTGCTCGCAGATGTCGAGGATGCGTGGTGAATTTGACGATGGAAAGTGGCGGTTCGCGGGGCAGTTTTGGAATTGATCGTGTTTTAATATCGTTAGCGTTGTTATCATACACAGGGTGTGCTCGTGTTTTGGTTTAGAGGGTGAAAGGTAATGGAGATTGTGTTTTAATGGAATTATCGTAATGTATTATAGCTTGGCATGGAAATTGTTCGTGTAATCTCGGTTTCGATATTCTCGAATAATTTTTCTGCTTCGGTTATTATGCTTGTTATGTAATTATCGAGGAGAATGATCTTGTAATTTGATATGTATAAAAAAAGATGTATCTTTACGTTGCTCGGGGTAATACGAGCTTCTAGATTATTCGAAAGTTGGATTAATTAAGCAATAAGTGGATATGGATTTTTGGAAAAATTGTTAAAACGGAATCCTTTAATTGGTAAGAAGGTTTGGAAGATCGTTTCGTATTAAAATTATCACCAGTATTAATTATATCAATTATTACGATCCTATATTTTCGTCAATTAATCACATGTATTCTCCACTACCAATATCATCGCAAATATTAATTATTACAACGATTCCATATTTATATTTATTCCACGCATATATTTTCTGTTACTAACATTTTCATTAGTATCAATTATTACAACGATTCTAGATTTATATTTATCGAACATGCATATTCTCCAATTACCATTACCAATTATTATCCCATTTCCAAGTAATTCGATTAAAAAATTTAATTTCAGTTCGCTATTCAGCGAAATTCACGATCTGCGAACACACTTATCCTTTGAATTCTCTCGCAGACATAACCTCAAAAAACGAGAAAGAAAAATAGGGCCTTCCTCGATGGCCCCTATTGATCAACGCATTGTACCACAAAAATTGATGCACACCATCTTCCCTCGTTCCACGAGATCCCCGGCGGTGTTTCGCCGGGCCTCGAAATGGAATCTGCATTTTAACGAAGGACTTTAACGAAGGTGTCGTTGAAATCGGCTCTAAATTATTTTTAATCGTGGCAAAGGGGCTTTAACTCGACGCGAATGGGCCCGCGTCGCAGCCGGCACACCGTCGATAATTGACACGAACCCAATAAATTAGTAATTAGCGGGCGCGGACGATCGCAAAACGCTGCCACCGATTCGTGCCCGGACATTATCGACAATCCGACGGTCACGATCGGTGGACACTTTGCTAAACCGTATTTCCGCGGCTCCTTGACAATTTGATAACGATCGGCCGTGTCGCGGCGCGCCGTTCCGATTGTTCATTTGCATGCACGCGTGGCCGTAGCCCGGAATACGCGCGAAACGATACTAATTTGCGGCGGATGATCTTCAATTATGCCGTCTTGAATTTCAAATTGGCCCAACGTCGGAATGTCATCGAATTTCTAGGTGAAACTGGTGGTACGTCGTTACCGCGTTTTGGGCTTCGTTGAATGAATAATTGCTGATTGATTTGCGGTAGAGTTTCGAATTGCGGTTCTCTCTTTTATTCACTTTTTATTGTTCGATTTAACGTTCAACGGATCGTATGATCGTTGTTAAAGTGTTAATTAAAATTCGTGGTTTTGCGGGTTATCCGTTCTCGCGATTTTTCTATATGTGGTGGCATTATTCTCACCCTTGTCAATAAATGGATTCCTACCTGAAGGAGGTAGAGGACTTTCTCGCAAGTCCTCGATAAAATGCCTCTGCTTCCTGTATATTCAATTTCCAGGCTCTCCTAGGTATTTACTGTTTTATCGCCAATCCACCTATCGCGTGCCACGACTTTGTCAGAATTATGGCACGGATTATGGCTATGGATGCGTTCCTACACCACAGTTACAATTTCCAAATTTTCCAATAGTAACCCTGTCTAAGGCAGGATCTGCTAGGAAGTCTTATCGATGAATTCACTAGCAGGTCCAGGACGAAATGCATCCTTTCCTTTTCCTTTCGTTCCTTCTAGCACCAACGCGACATTGCGACGCAGCCTAAATCTACAAAGCCAACAAACGTACAGGGACCTTAGATAATATTGCCCCTGTGACATATTATAATGCATCACAAGATAGCTGACCAGTAGTCCCAAATCTTTGAAACAGCCCTACTGAATCACTCGAATTGCAACTATAAGATAGCCACCCCCAGGACCCATGATGCAACAATATTAATAATCCCTCTGCCACATTGAGGATGCCTGCGACAAGTTGACCACAGTCCCCCACACATATCTTCTCTCATTTCGTTTCTTTCCTTTTTAAGATTACTTTCCTACTTTCCTATTCGTCAAGCATGAGAATAGGCTCATAAAAATCGAATGATAAATACTAAGGGGATACAACTATTCGTGCACCATAAACCAATAATTCACTCTTTCAATCTACAAACAACGTACACTCTAATATACACCTAACTGTCCAATCATCCTGAAAGTCATCCACAAAATTGGAAACTATCACATTCCGTTTCATGCTCATTCACTCATCCTAACCCCTATTCCTCTGAATATCTCCCAAAAAAGCCATCCAACGATAAACTTGTCGAGCAAACGACGTCGAGGTCTCACCAGCAGGTGATCCCAACTGAAGAGACCCCTCTATTTGTCCTGTGAACCGTCCATTCGATATGATTGCAGAACGGTCTGAACGAGACCAGGAGGGATCGTATCTTGCGCACCTACGTGCGTAACACCTATCGCTACCACCTTCACGAGATCTACTCGACCCTCCGCAACGAGTACACGGACTGGGAGCGAGGCGAGCAGAGTCCATCGGCGATCTGCGAGGGCCTGTTGTCCCTGCTCGGCGACGGCCAGGTCGCCGCTCCTCTTCTTAGGCTAGCACTGCTGCACTCGGCTTCCGGTGGACGCGGCTACTTCCTGCACTTCCAGCTAGGTGACCGGCCGAGCCAGAGAGGCGAGGAGGTACCCTATCTCCTGGGTATACCTCTTCTTCGCGGAGACGCGTCTGCCTCTCTATCCCACGCCAACTACACTATAGCCGATGAGAACCTGTCCAAACTGCTGGTCCACTACTTGGCGAACTTCGTGAGACGCGGGTGAGTCTGCCACGTCTTTGTTCCCCTATCCCGTTTCCCTTGCGCTCGCTTTTTACCGGCACACACACTCGCGATTATGTCCCGGACACCGGAGTCCTGACCGAAGCTGCAAAGCTTCCGCTTCGTGATTGGATTTGCCGGGAAAGTAGCTGGGTACACCGGTCGTTCAGGCAGAGATATCGAGCGGCCGCGATCGCTGCTAGGGTTCTAGCCTTTCCGAGCATGTTACCGGGAATAATGGAAAATGTTTGCGTATCGGGTGTCTCGCGGGGAGCTGTCGCTTCCATCTTGGGTAGCCTGTGGTTCGAGGGTGTGTTCGAGGAACAAGCTTGGATCGTTTATCGTTGCGTTGCTGGGATATGGAGTTGGGTGAACAAGTGGTAGACTATGGGGAATGATCGGACCTGTTTTCTTTGTTAAGTAGGTCCTTGGGAAGCGTGAGAAATTAGGGTGCCTTTGGAACATTCGGTCTTGCACATGTGGGAATTGGGATTGGAAGAGCAATTTGGGGGTGGTTCTTTGGAGAATTATTAGGATTTTTCTTTATCGACTCGATTAATAGGGAATTCGAGGATGAGTTTGCGGTATTGGGTCTTGGGAATTAGTAAATACATAGTGAGACTGAAGGGTGATCTTTTGAAGAATGATCTGGCTTTTTCTTTATCAACTCGATTAATAGGGAACGAGAAGAATGGGGCTGAGTCTGTACCAGTGAATCTTGCGAATTAATAAACGAGCAATGGAGTCGAGGGGTGGTTTTTTGAAGAATGATCAGGATTTCTCTTCATTAGCTGGATTAATAGGAAATGAGGAGAACGAGACTGAGTTTGTACCAGTGGCTCCTGGGAATTAATAAACGAGTAATGGAATCGGGGGTGGTTTTTAGGTTTTTTCTTCATTACCTATATTGTTAGGAACTTTGAAAAATTAGGATGCATATTACTGTGATATACGCGATAATTTTTATGTGCTATTAAGAGAAAATACTCTGACCCACATAAAACATTTTCATTTCTCATAGCAGGGTAGTAAAAGGGTCAAGAAATTAATCTTGAGTAGAACTGGGTTGAAGACATACAAGCTGTGAAAACGAGGAAATTAGAGCAAGATTTTAATAACGCGATAAACAGTAATTTCGTGAAATTATATTTCAAAATTTTAATTAGCTTAATGCGAAATCTTCGTGGAGTAATAATTAAATCCTTGCGAATTTCTTCGTATTAAAACTCAATTAGCACTAGGGATGACTTAAGTACAAAATATGTTTTCGCGGTAAATTCTCCGAGATTTTCAATCTGTTCGCATTGTCGATCATTAAACCGTTTAATTAACCGTTTAATTAATTAAAAGTAAACCGTTCACTACGAGCATTCGGGGCGAAATTTTAATCAGGCTGGAACGTCTTTATCCCTTTTCCGGGCTGTTTATTATTTCATTTGTTCCCCGAGCAAACAACCGTAAAGCGAGATTCTTAAAAATGAACTGCAAAATTAAAATCGCGTCTGGTGGTGGAAGTCGTAAGGAAACGTTCCGAGGGCTTCATAAAGCGGTGCAATTATCGTTAAAAGAGATTGCTTTGATAAAGCTCGCAGATAAGTGCCCTGATTTTATTTGCCATTACACTTCGACTCTCGATAGATTTCGGTCAGCGTTTCACGGTTTTATCGCGATAATCCGGTAAAGGAACGTTGTTTAGAACGATCGATTTTTCAGTCTTGCCTGTCGAATCCAATTTTTACGCTGGCAAATCGTGAAAAACGTATTTAATTGGACTAACAGTCGAGATGATTAGTCTCTCAGGCCAGTGCACAAGGCAATTTCCATGCAAATACAATTTCACCCGGTTCGAGCATCAACGCGAGCCATTTGAACTTGGAATAAAATTTCTGTCCCGTTTAAAATCGTAAAATCAGAAGCTCCGCTCTTCACGTGTCAAGAGGTTTTGTCGAAGATTAAGGTTGCAAACATTCTCGAGGGAACACCGGCGAGAAACTGATGGATGGAACGTTGCGGCATTCGTCAAATAGGTCGGTGATTTTTTAGTCTGGTTACCGAGATTTATTATTATTATCGATAATCGAATAAGAGGAGCGAGAAATAATTGAAAGGATAGAGAGAGATATCGACGAAATAATTCATCGTGTCAGTTCAAGTCTAATGATACATAACGTGTACTCGGAGAAAATGTCTTTAGAAATATCGATACAAAATAATTCGATACATACTGACACGTATATTAAGAACAAGAAAATTAATTTCAACGTATGTTCATAATAATTGTTATTGCATAGCATATGTTAATATGTTGATATGTTGATATAATCATATATTCATATGTTGATAAGTTGATAAGCTGAAAAGTTGATAAGTCGATAAGTCGATATGTCGATATGTTAATATGTTAATATGTTAATATGTGAATATGTGAATATGTCAATATGTAAATATGTTAATGCGTGAACACGTGAACATGTTAATAAGTTAATATGTTAATGTGTGAACACGTGAACACGTTAATATGTTAATATGCTAATGTATGAACATGTGAATATATTAATATGTTAATGTGTTAATGTGTTAATATATTGATGTGTTAATGTGTTCACATGTTTATATGTCTATACGTTGACGTAGTGACGTGTGACATGTTGATATGTTGATATGTTGATATGTTAATATGTTAATGTGTTAATGTGTTAATATGATTATATGTTTATATGTTGATAAGTTGATAAGCTGATGAGTTGGTGAGTTGGTGAGTTGCTAAGTAAATAAGTTGATATGTCGATATGTCAATATGTCAAGATGTTAATATATAATGACATATTATATATGATATTATATATGATATATAACATAATACATAACATAATATAACACAATATACGTTATACATTTAATATATAATATTACATATCATGGATACACAATACTTTCATTTCACGAGGGTTATTATACATACATAATACGAAGAAAGCAATTCATTTTCATCCCTCTGCAGAATTTAACAATTCAGAATTCCCCTGAAAAAGACATAATTGCCAAAAGCGTTTCAGTCAAGTTCCTCGGAGAAAGTTAAATCATTTCGGTTAGAATAATTACTGCTCGTTGCTGTGCAAAATTTCATTATTACTTTCCTCTGTTGGCGATTTAACGAGCGCTACCCTACGCCAGGAACAAAAAGGCAGAACTCGAAACGAACTGCAATTACAACTCATCGCTCGTCGCTTAATTTTACGATCAAAAAATAAAATAAGAAGAAACGAAAAGGGAAAAGAGAGGGAAGGACTAATAAAAGAAGAGGGAGAAAAAATTGGTAAACTCGTTTGGCGAAGTTGCTGGCAATATTTTCACGCACGAAGGGACGAGCGAAACTGAAGGCTGGTAAAAAGAAAGTTTCCACTCTCGAACTTCCGCCCCAAGAACGCTTCTTCTACTCGCCCCGACTCCAGGGAGGAATTAAAACCGTCTCGATATCGCGGCTCGATACTTCCATCGTGCACTCCCATAGGTATCGCCGCCAAAATATCAACGTCTTAATTAACATCGTTGCGCCCGTTCCCTATCGCGAAACTTCAACCAGCACGTTCGCGTGCAACTTTTCGGATTACCAACGTCCGAGCAGGTTCCCCGATCGCGAGGACGTGGCTATCGGTCGGCCAACGGGCTGACCGTTCCCGCTAATTCCGCTGATTTAAAGTCGGCGAACTTAGGCGAAACGACGACGGTGAGTTCGCCTCGGTGAAAACGACGACGACGACGGCGACAAAGAGGATGACGTAGAATCGGGGTGGACCGTGAGAAATTCGGATAAGGGAGGAAATGGGGACGAGGTGGAAGTTCCAAACTTGCAATTACGATGACGCGAAGGCTAGTTTCTTGTTACGTGCCGGCGGGTTTCACGAATTGAATATTAGCCGAAGTTAGGCGTGCCTGGAGTCAGAGTAATGATCATTGGGTTAGAGCGTACAATTTGACACCGGTACGACGCGTATCCGACTTTCCGTGGATAATTTGTCGCGAGAATTGGACTCGAATGCTATGGAATGTCAGTTGACTTGGTATTAATCCAGGATCTTATAGTTGAGGAGCTGGATGTTTAATTTTATTACGTTTAATAGGAAACAGAACTAAGGATGAATTTTGTTCATCCTTGTAAAGTCTATATCTTTTGATATACAATTTTTGGTAAACGATTGAAATTTTTCTGCTTATTTATTATTATTTATAATGCTATTTTCTTGTTTATGACATTGAGAGTTTTTCGATTTAATATAATGGATAGATAGTTGATAATCGTAGAATAATTTAGAAATATAGTTTATATAATTTTTGTGTCTTCTCAAAGATAATTAACACTAGGACTATAAAACAAGTCAAAGTTGCAGACTTACTGTTCTAATAATTATTAAAAATGATTTTCATTAAAATGGAAATATCAAGATACCTATTTATCTATTTTTATCTAGTACTTTTATTATTATTATTCGCATATAGAATACTATATCAAATATTATCTTTCTTTGCATTCAAAAAATTTTTCTATTCGATCGACCAACGACTCCAACACGCCTTTATAATAAAAAATATTTGAAAACTAAAAATTTCGGATCAAGAAAAGGAATTACAAATATCTATAAACTTATTTACATCTTATTATCCCCCAACGAAAATAAAATCAAATAACAAATTGCAGATTATTAATATCCTATCAGTGGCACCGATATAGTACATAGGGATATTATAAAGCGCGTGTGATTTATCCAGGAACATGTAAATATCTCAAAATATAGATGACGTAGAATACACTATATTAAGGTACATATATTTATACTACATCCGCGTACACATTAAAAATATACAATTGTGGAGGAATTGGTTGATGGTATTTATCTATTTAATAATAAATTAACAGCGATAGAGTATGCAAGTAACGATAAAGATAATTATTACACTTCTGCAGCAACTCTCCTATTACAACTCACAACTAGCAACAACTAACAACTCTGACAACTAACTTCGAAAAATCTCTGACAACTCAGAATCTTGTTGGGTCCTTGTCCTTTTATATTCTTCTTTCACCATGCACACCATGCACGCATTTTCCAATGCCTTTCCTAACATGACCAAATATGGTCGTGCTAAGGGCCTAAGGCATCGTCCAGGGTCTTTTTGACTGACCTGGCTATCGAACCCTCGGTGACTTTCGCAAAGCTACGTGCACATGCAGTGGACACTTGCGATACCATACCATACTATACTCAGGTACACGGTAAAAACTTGATAATTCACATAATTCAAAATCACTTCACGATATCTATCTCCACGCTTCAAGAAAACTTGCCAAAATCCCAAATAATTATTTCAATTCGATCTCTCGAACTTCCCCCTTACTCCATCCCCCCGCCCCTAGTATATCAGTTGGCTCGTATCTATTCCAATTTCGATGCAACAGGATTGTCGTCTCCTAACGTACGCTCGACGGGTCGTGGGCTTTTTGACTTCCATAAGCGACTACGTGCCAGTCGTTTTTCACGAACGGAAAATCCAGGCTGCGTGTGGAGATAGAAAACGCATAATGCGATTGCGTTCGTATCCGCGCGATATCACGGGAACACCTGCCGGGCTAAGAGAAAGCCAGTCGTCCGGCGAACTCAATTTCGAAACGCAATTTCCGTTTGAGTTTCTCGGTCTTCGTCGGCTATACAAATCGAACAATGAAACCGGGTATCGGTTCCTGTGAAATAATTAAAGCAGCAGGCAATTCCTCCGGGGATTTTATTTTGGACGTAGTCTTTCAGACGAAGTAGGTTGCCTCTTAGCGTGTTCCAGCTCCAGATGACTTCATAACGAGTCAAAGAGTGCAGGATGCGTGATTAGAATGCGAATAGAAATTGGGAAATTTAGCTTCGAGTATTTATCGCAAACGGAATTGGGTCCGGTTGGGGCTGGAATAAACACGAGGAGTCGTAATCAGGATTTTACAGATGCAGCGTGTTTTTATGCAGCTGGAAATTGGAAATGTAATTGGGTTGCAGGTTATCGCGCTATGGGGATGTCGACCTATTTTCGTTGACCTAAGTTGTTAAAGTTAAATAATTTGGGAATTTCTTAATTAGAGATTCATTAATTGCGACTCGCTAATTTAATCGAGGATTCGTTCAGCCAAGGTTCCCCATTACGTCGAATAATTTTGTATGAGAGACTATGGAATTTGTTTCAGTAAGCGTTCTGGTCGAAAGTAGGGTGGAATTATGGTCGAAGACAGTTTTACGCGCGATGTTTTAAAATTCGCTCGAGTTTCCAGTGGCCTACGAGACGTTTCTGCATTTCCGGTTATGAGAGACGCGCTGTATATTTTATCGATATTATATCGTGTCTATCCACTTACATGGTTCCAGTATATTATCGCATTATCATATATGAAATAACTGTAATATTAAAGATCGTTGCAACGTTAGTGGCTTTTCGCTTTAGCCATGAAAAGACACAGTATAGTGTTAGGGGCCTTCAGCTCTAGTCGTAAAAAACGTAGTACTGCTTCAGTGACCATTAAGGTATTAACCTACTGCTCTTACCTTAGTTTAGTTTCTTTTGATATCGGTATTATTTCGCACGGTATTCTATACATGATGTAATTTACGCGATAAGAAAAATGAAATAAGGAAATATCGTAGAAACACACCTATTTTCTGTCACGGAAGTTTACTAAATCCAAGACTCGAGAGGTACCCGATTGCAGCCATTTATACGAGCAATTTCCTCGAGTCTGGTGTAGGAACCTAACTCGAAGCATTACTTCCACGAGAAGGAGTAATTGAAAACGTGACAGGAATGTTAGAAAAAGCATCGACATTTACCCAAAATCCCACGATGTCCTGATCACCTTCGTCTCCTTCGATATAGATATTGAAACGTTTTAAATGTCCCTGGAAATAAGCCGATGGAATAAAACTGTCGAGCAGCCCACGAACATCCCGTATCATCCCCCGATTCCTGCCAGCAGCCATCCCATTCCAGCTCCCCGGAACCGATCACGGTCCACAGCACAATTTCCATCCGTAGTAGACCGTTTGATCGAGACTCGTGTGTTGGTGCACACGGGATGTTTCAGGGACCCGAACGGCGTCAACCCGCTGAAATCGGGATCCGACGGGCTTCCGACCAGCCCGCCGTTCTGGGATTCGTACGATTCAATAAATCAGCTGTACCTAGAGGCCGGTCGTAGCACGGAAATGCGGTCGCATTACAGGGGCCACAAGATGTCCCTGTGGCTGAATCTGTTGCCGCAGCTGCATCGACCTGGCTACGAAATCAGCATGCGTCACCATCACCTGGCCGAGAGTTCTAGCCTCTATGAAGGCGCGGTGCGTCCACAGACTATGGCGCTTCCGTTGCCGGCGCCGCCGCTTCCGGTGCCCTCTCCCACCGAGCCATCCTCGATCTCCAGCGCGATATCGACCACCGAGTGCACGCCGAACGCCACGCTCGCCACCACCGTCGCGACCACTAGTAGGACCATGCAGCACCCCAACCTGGGCCCGGGACCTAACAATCTTCTCAGAAAGCTAGCCTCTAGCCACTACCAGAGCTACACCACGGCTCTGACAGTCACCATAGCCGTCGGGGTGTTCTTGCTACTGCTCAACATCCTCATCTTCGCCGGCATCTATCATCAGAGGGACAGGAACTCGTCGGGCTCGTCCGGAGGTCTGTCTTCGGCTTTCGGGGACAAGAAGAAGGAAGAGTTGCTGGAAGCGGGCTGCTCGGGTATCGAGGTATCCTCTGGCAAGCAGAGGCTGTCTTCCTTAAACCTGATGGACTCCCCGTCCTCGAGTCCACCGCCTCACAAGGCGAAACTCGCTCAGGAGCTGGAGTTGCAGCTGCAAGAGTTCCAGTGCTCACCGCCACCCGGCGGTGGCAAGAGAGTACTAGAGCCACCATTGTACACCAGGAGTCCCTGCGTCCAGAGGACACGCACTCCGTCGCCTTGCGTGGACGCGACCACTGCCAGGATGGACGACGACGACGACGGGGATAGCAGTAGCGACGACAACGACGACGAGAACCTCCCGGAACCCCCGCCGCCTCCGAAGGCTCCAGCGCCCAACGTGAACCTGTCCTGCCCAGGAATCCTCAGGCAACCCGGCACACCCGGTAGCGCCAAGAAACGTGTTCAGATCCAAGAGATTTCCGTGTGACGAGTATCTTCTTCCGTATAAAATCTGCTCGTCGGTCCTTGGGATCATTCGTCAACCTGTCCAGCGATCCTCGATCGTTGCTGCCGCTGGCGGTAGCCGATGAACTTCAGACAGGTCAAATTCCAGCGATTAGAGTTCAAAATCGGAGAAGCTAGATGCCAACCGCCAGGTCAAGCTGAGGATTGGAAGTTCCTCGAGAAACCTCCAAGTTCCTACTCTGCGTGGATCTTGGGATGGATGCGTTCGAGGAACATCGAACGCGAGCCAATCGTTGGGAGTCTAACTAGTTCATTCTGTTATTCTGTCGCTTCGAGGAGTAAGCCTGTATGTTAAGGCGTTTAGCATCTGTCTCGGAAGAAACGATCAGCGGGTTAACGAAGACGCATAAGACAGAAAATAAGAGCACAAATCGATGGCCTTAAGGGGAGGTTTATAACGGTGGCAGTCATCGGAGTCTGTCCCGTGGGAACAATTGTTCTCGTGGGACTGGACGAAGATGTTTTCCAGTATTTCTTACGACTCGAATGGGAAACGAAGCAGGAGAAAAATTGGAGCAGCAGATCTGCCGTTGGAGAAGACTCACTAGCCAGCGATTCTATTGATCGTTGATCGCGTGAAGATATTTCGTACGTTCGAATTTACCGTAGATCCATCGAGCTAAATATTAAACGATCCTTAGCCGGCTCGCTCGAGTCCTCTCGAGGCGAGAGCGAGGTATCGGGCCGAAGGTTCACCTTATCGAGCACATAACGATACCCTTGTTTAAAGGGGGAGAGAGAAACAAAGGACGCAGGATTTTTTTAGAGACCTCGGCGAGAAGCATCGACTCTTTATCTTCCTTCTTCAGCAGTTGTATGGGGTGGACGGCGAAGGGCCATAGAGGGAAAATAAAAATAGGGGACGTCTCTCTCGGGAGAGAGAATGAGAGGAAGAGAGAGAGAGGAAGAGGGGGGAGCGAGAGTCGTGGAGTAGCGGTCGAATCGTGGCCGGAGGTCGTCGCGACGCTCGACGCCGTGAAACGAGGGGATTGATATAATCTCAGGAACCCAAAAGACAAGGCGCGCGCCGAGGAAGCCAGGCAGGATGCCTCGGGCTTCCTTTATCCGGATTTGTCGGAGCACTAAGTGGAATTATTCGAGGAATTGGAAGGTCTGACCTCGACTTTTCGGATCTCGTGACTTTTCGGTCGTGAGCAAGAAGTCGTACGCGAGGAACTGGACCTGATCAAACGAAACTCTGCAGGTTGAGCACAGAGGGAGCCTGCTAGCTAATGAATTGGTGAATCTGGAGTTCTCGTCAGTGTAATCGCGTGTGTTCTTAGTTACGTGCGCGAACGAGAGGTGAGAGAAAGGGAGAGAGCGAGAATGAGTGAGAGGAAGAGCGAGAGGAAGAATCGAGGTATGAGTGTTGGGATGAGAGAATGACGGTGAGACGAAGAATGATTGGTGAACAGTGAAAAATATAAATTGTAAATTATACTCGATGCGAGGATATGATTGGAGTGTGGAAGAAGCGTCCGGATCCATCCTGAGTCTATTATTTCGTTTCTTCTTCGAGGGTGCTTACAAGGACGGTTCCTGTCGAGTTTGGGGGTTCACTGGGTGAGTTTTATCCTTTTTCTTCATTTCATATCTAATTCCTTATTTTCTACATACTACCATGAATATTTTAAATTTTTCATAGCAAAATTCCGGTCTTTCCGGCTAATTGTATTTTTCTTTCTAACAGAGAAAAGAGTATGAATAATATTCGAGGTCCGTGAAAGGTCTTCCCGTTGATCCGGGTTAATTTGGTTTATTCAACAAGAACGCGTGTCTCGTGCCGATATCTATTACCAACCAAGGTTTAATTTATGTACCAGACAATTTAGAAACTGTCTGAGTATTTTTTAACGGAATTACCCGTCGACGTTAATTTGAACGCAAACCCGTAAGAGCTTTCACGTGAAAATTAAATAACGGAATTAGTTGTTGTAGGTAAATGGAGTTTCCAATCGGTAATTTTGAGAACGTCACGTTCTTGTTTCGAGTGTGTACCGTTCCCGTTGACAAATGCCGGTGTTTACGAGCACCGTTCCTCACTGTTCCCCGGTCTCTCGAACAATTAGCCTTGATTACGTTTCGCTGAATGCTGGAACGAAGTTAGACGCTTGTCAGGTTGATAACAAAAACGCCCAGCATCCTGACCTACATAAGGGTGATTTACTTTGAAGTGGGTTACCTTTGTCGGAATAGACGAGAGTGAAAAAATAACGCGACAAATTTTTAATCGAACAGTCGTAGCGATCGGAACACAAATTTCTCGATATTCGACGTTGAAGTAACGGACAATATACAAAATTCACCTAGTCGAGTAAAAGAGCAACTTCGAATACGCGACGCGAAAACCTTTATTCGGTAGGAAGTAGTAATAGGCAGCGATGGTCAGACGCGAAGCTAGTGATACGACAAAGCTTTAAATATCGCAATAGAGGTGAGATTTTTATTTTCATAAGGAATTCTGTATATCTTTGCGTCGATTTTAGAATACTTTTCATTGTGTTTAAGGAACTTAAATATATTTTTTATGGTAAATTTTTTCAACTAAAATTAGAAGTCCGCGAGAGTAAGGAGTTTAAAGTTAAAACGAGGTTTTGATAATTTTTACGAAACGATACGAATAATCGATAAGAGATAGGAAACAGTATGAATTATAACTTTATTAAAATATTTAAATATAGCTTCAGCCGTGCTTGATTAGTTTCTATCGCGTGTATAAATTTTTAACTCCGTAGGAAGGACGCTTTTAAATTATTTTCTTTTTCACCGTACATTTTAATCTTAATTTGTAAAAATCGTTCCAATTGTTAGAATCGGAACGTCGATGTCTAGAATTTATTCGAAATTATCGTGCCTCGTCCATTGTTATTCCTTTTTTGAAAACTCGAGCATGTAACCAATACGTTTCTCTTTAAAACTTCCTCCAAAGGAAGCAAAAGCTGTTTCTTCATCTATTCGCTGTTCTATCGTCGGGATATTTCTAAATTATATGCAACTTTTACCCTATCCACGTTACAATAACATTGAACCATTTCATTCTAAATATTCCACATATCCCTTTCTAAAAACATTATTAATATTTACTCATCCTAAATTATTATTATATTTAAGTTATTATTATTACTATATTTCCTTGCACCCCCCAAAAATATGCTTTTTACCCCAGCCAAATTGTCTTTAAGATTTCCTTCTTAAAGCCACTATTTTTCTATCGATTCGCTATCCTATTCGTTAAAATATTTTACATTTCGCCATTATATTTACGTACTTGTAATATTATATTTTAAATTCTAATTTATAATATTATATTTAAAATTAATAATAAATTGCGATATCCCATTCTCCACTTCCTCCTCCACTTCCAAAACCATATAATCTCTACCCTACCCAACCTAGAACAAGACCAATAAGCTCCCGCTTGAAAACCACCCCTCTGAATCTACGAATCTGCTTTCTATTCACCATTCCATCAACGCACCTATCTCCGCGAGCCTTTCTAATACTTTCCCTTCGATATCCTCTCAAGACTCCCCATTCTCCGTTTTCTTTCTTCGCAACGTATATATCGGGGGTGGAGGCAGTTGCAGCCGGGAAACGCGGAAGTAACGATCGATACCGGAAACGAGAGGCAGCCGAGTCGCGATAATAAAGGAGAAACGAGTCGTTGTAAGCATCCGTGCGAGTTTGAAGCGTAACGAAAGGGCGGGACGAGGAGAGGGTGAAAAGAAAAGGGAGGTAACAAGGAGAAAAGCCGCGCGAGGGGCCAGACGTAAGTAAAACCTAACTATTAATTTAGTTTAGTCGGGAAAGGGGAAGAAAATTCGCGCGTGTAGCGGCCGGAAGTGCTCGTGGATTTCTTCGGGACGATCTTCCGGGGCCGCGACTTGGCTCGAATTTCGAATGAGAGAAAGAGAGTGAGGGAGAGAAGTGACGGGTGAAAGAGACATTTCGCGTGTTTGCTTGTTTGAGTGTGAGGCTGGGAGAACGAGGAGAGAAAGATGTTCGAAAGTCCTGTCGTTGAGAACGCGTGGATTCATCGATGGATCCTCGATTCCGTTGGATGGAAGAAGCTTCCTTTGTCGGATTGATCGCTCCGCGAGATGGACACGGAGCGTTTGTCTGCTGGTTTTCTCTTGGTCCGGGATCGTCGATGAATCAACGGGCGAAACAGCGACGTCTTCAGCGTCATTTACATACAGAATTAAACGGAGCCAGACACAGACACAATTGTACACGCACACATACACGAATACGAAGACACGTGCAATACACAGGCACACGTACACGATTATCAATGTTTGGGATGTTGAAATTTGTTTAAATAAATACTTAAAGCATTTAAAGAGTAAGCTTTGGTACTTCGATTCGGATTCATCCGTGTGATTATCCTTCCTGCAGCGTTATTCTAGGTTTTCAGAGTATTTTCATAGTATTTTCATAGTATTTTCGGCCTCTTCCACCGTAATTTTACGTTCAATGCGAATGATTAAACGGAGACGGTTCGTCTTTTATTTAGCAGATTTAATTTATCGATTTATCGATTTGGATAATTTTACATGGTTTTTATACTTAATTATAGACTCGTACTGATCGTTTGTTTCAACTCTTCCAACGCAGCAATTATGGCCACGTCACATTGTTTATTCCTGGTCAGAATAGGTAAGTGCTAACTTTATTTTATACCATCACACGCGATCATTGTTGTCTTGCGTGAAGGTTGAATATTTACCTTCGACGAAGTTGAGCGTTATTTTTATAAATGGCGGGAAACGGTAATTTCGCTGAAATTAATAGGTAGTATTATTAGTACTAGTTCCGAGGGAATCCGAGCATATACGAGTAAACAAAAAGTTCCCCATTTGTGTGGGGAATTTTTTAAAATTATAGTATCAAAGTGTTCGATCGATGCTTAATTCCTTATATTTAAAGCAAATTTCTGCTTTCCGTGCTGTGGATTTAATCGATTTAGTAAATAAGTGATCCAATTATTGGAATATTAAATTCGTACCTTTGCAATGTTAAATTACTTAAAAATAGGATACTTAAAAATACCTAAAAATAGTATGTATAGATCTCTTTTTCACAATCGTCTTGAATTGAAAGATAAAGGAAAAAATAATCTAACCAGTGTAGATCTTTCTTCGCATCTAAATATAACATAAAACGAAACAATTGCACGTTCTAATCGAGTAACGAAAATTCAACGAGTGATTTCTAAACGAACCTAACGAACCAATACGAAGCAATATGAAGGACAAGTCAGTCGGATAACATAAAATCCAAAAGAAACGGTAGCTGAAAAGCCACTTGGAGTAATCATCCTTCATTTCTCTCCACGAATTAACTTGCCTCGATCCCTGGCCATTTTCAAACCGGTTGAATTCCAGCGCACAGAGAAACGGAGGAAATGAGAAAGATCGGGGCGGGAAAAACGAGAACAAACGGTAACTCCGAAAATAAATTCCAAGAGTCGGACTCCTTAGAGCTCAAACAAGCTGTAAGAAGCGGCAGAGAGAAGAGATAACAAACGGAATTCAAGGAGAGACAGGTCGAGAAATACCGTGCATCTCGCGTGAAAGGTGCGCGAAACATGGCAGAGAGAAGACACTTCCTTCTTCTTCTTCCTCTTCTTCTTCGTCTCTTATTCCTCTTCTCTCCTGAGGCGGTTCCGCGCGATATGCCGGCTTCGTTTCGATCACGGTGAAGCAGGCCATTCCTCCTCGAGGATCCGCCACCGTCGGCGATGCCAGCTGCCGTGAAAACCACGGAGACACTCGATGTTTTAGGGTAATGGAAATTCCGGTCCCCTCGCGGCTCCTCGAGAACGAGCAATCTCGAGGATCGTTTCTGGCTCAGCTATATACCGCACCTTCTTGCCCTGCCAAAGTGGCACGTGTGACAAACCTCTGTCTACGTGTGTAGTACGTGTGCGTGGCTGCGCGCCCGCGCGTGTCCTGTGTCTCTTCGTGTACTGGGTGTGTCTGCAATATCGAATTTTTTTAATGCGCAATCGGGAACACAGCTAGGCTAGTAATCTTCGATTTTCTCATGGTGCACGAAGTTACTATGACTATTTA